GACAGCTTCTCAGGGCCTGGTTTGGGAGAAGAGGAGCCGGTCGGTGCGCCCGAAGTGCCGTGAGGAGGGAGCAGTCGGTTCAGGCTGGGGGGCAGCACTCCGTGTGTTGACACCTCTGAGGCCTGGGTGCGTTCCACAGGCTGTTCGTGGGTGCCAGAGTTTGTTTGGGGACCACCGGGAGAAACCTCGTCCCCAGAGATGGCCGTTCCCTGGCCTGCCTTGCTGGGGGAGGTGGGAAGGCTTTGGGGAATCTGCGGCCAGAAAAGAAACCCACCACAGTGTTGGTGTTACGCCTTCAGCTTACCTTGAACTACCCCCTCACTGAAGCTAAGTTAAGATTACGAAATATTTTTGTGGAGGAAATGACGGAGCACGCTCCCGTCGAGGACTGCAAAATGAAGAGACCAGACAATACACTCGCTGGACAAGTACGTGGGGACTTCCAGAGCTTCAGCAGTAATAAACTGCGTAGGAAAATACGCAGCATAACTACATGTGGAATAAATTCAAGCTTATTTTCAGAAGGTCACGCTACAAGAGCATTATTAGGGTGACAAAAAAACCAAACAACAGTCAAAGATTAGGTGAAGCTGTAACAAAGTCAACCTCTGGCAGTTTAAGTCACCCTCCCAATGTAGTGACAGTTTGCGACACTGGCTTTAAGGACGAGATCCCAGCTGTTATTTTAGCTGCCAGGTTAACACCCCAGTGCTGGGAGTGAGCACAGGACCAGTCCGCTCCGATGGGTACCACGCCAGGTCTTGCAGCGCATTTCAATTCTTTCTCTCCTACAGAAAAGAAAAGATGCCAGAAGCGACACCGAGGAAAGCGACAGGAGCGAAGCCGAGGATCTGGCAGAGGGCACAGAGTAGCGCAAAGCACCGGGAGCTGGGCAGACTCTTAGAGGCAGAGGTGCCGAGCAGGACCAGGGGAGAGGCCGGGCAGGGTCACCGATGGCTTCGCGGCACCTGCCTGAGGCATCATCATCCCGTGTCTAGAGGGAGGTGCATTTACAGCCAGTCAAGTCACTTTAGGAGACGTTTCCTTCACTACTTCTGTTGGGACCATTCTTTTTCTGCTACTCTATAAGCAATTATCCAGGGGGAAAAAAAGGGTTTAGCAGCTCAAGTCTCGCTATAAACAGAAGAGGGCTTGAACAAGCTGCTGAAGTTAGGACACCTACCTGTAATTCCCTCAAAATCTTCCCAGAGCTTCACGAGATAATAAATTACAACTGCTGAAAATTTAACCGACTTGCCGTTTCAGAAGATGCCGGCAGTCATTGCCAGCCACCTCGTGAAAGGACTTGCGTGCGAAAGACACTGGCTTAAGTGGCAAGTTAAGTTTTCAGTTTAAAACGGTCGGGCTTTGGGGAAGCATAAACCATTTTTCTGCGAATAAGGCCCAGCCTACTGTCGCTGTATGAATTGTACAGCAAAGCTCATGTGTCTGAAACCTTTTGCTAACTGAGTATCTACTGAGGGAGAAGGCTTCTAAAAATAAAAGCAACTGAAACTCTTCCAAATACACACTTTTCCACCAGAATTTAGTATAAATGGAAACTTGCCATAGACATGTATTCATTTTGTTGAGGTTTCCTTTTCAGAAGTGGGAGTGTGTTACAGTACTGACATTTTAATGGAATAGTTTGGGAGGTGGATGACTTTTCACCTTGTAATGTATTGTAGCTCATGTATTTTTTTTTTAATTTATAGGAGAACATTAAAGTCAATGTCAAAATGAATTACACCTAAACCAAAGAGTCTGTTTCACCTAGATTTCACATGATGCTTTTTTTAGATCATCAGAGGTTTTATTAGATCATCAGATCTTATGTCAGTAGGAAAATCTTCTCAGAAACTTGCTGGAGGTCTGACATCACTGCTAATGCAGAACACGCAGAGGACAGGTAAATCTATATGTACGTATGGAAACAACATACAGAAACCTGCACACACTGTCTTTAAAATACGTTTCCTACTCCGGCTTTGGGTGTGCTTCCAAGGGATCTGACACGTTACACAAATATTCGGGGAAACTGTTTCCGAGAAATATGAAGTGGTGGAGAATGAAGGATGGTGTAACCAGAACACACTGCTGGGAAGAACCAGCTCCCACATCTGGCCTATGCAAGGCAAAATATCAGTAAAGTCAGGAAAGACGTGCGAGAGAAAGGCAGAAGGAACCGAGTCACCATTCCCTGGAGGGATTTGGACATTCCGACGTGCAGGGAGCAATGCTGAAAGGCAGCGAGGCACTGATCTCCGTGGGACACCGGCCTTGAGAGGGACGTCACCCAGCCCCAACCTTGCTGGGAATGCAAGACCCTTCGTTAGGATACTCGGTGTAAGGGTTTGCCCAGGAATTATTTCACCCTGTCCATGCATCAAGGACTGTGCTTTCTTTTAAAGCCTCAAATGATACACAGGGATCTCAGCTTTTAAAGGATTTATGTAGCCTCTGGGGCACTGTGTTTCGGACTCTCCCAGTTGTTCAAAGGACAGAAAACCACAGTGGTTGAAGGCCAGAGCAGCCCTTTATTTAGCAGCAGCCCTGAAGAGTTTATGTGCCATAACAATGCTGACCACGGTTTCCAGTAATGACCTGCAACGTTTGTGTAGCCACAAAGGTTTCACGGGCTTTTTCTTCAGTTCATTTGCCAGATAGAAAAAAAAAAAAAAAGACCAAGTTACAAAGGAACAGATCTATTTTCAAAATTAAATACTTTCACAGATGAAACTTGATGCAAAATAACTCCCATCAGGTGTAGAGCACATGACTTTTCGTTTTTGGTTATGCTGGACCTGGGATCACTCATGCCTATGCATCAAATCTTCGCACGGAGACACACCCACGAATAGGAAGAGGGCAAGGCAGTTTGTTGTCTATGACCTGGCACATGTCAATGTAGGGATCAAAGAGCACTACAACGGGGAGGGCACTGTTTCCCTTCCTCTGTCCAAGGAGGTAAATCCGTCCATTCGCAGCACTGCATCCCATGAAGAACTTTTGGGTCAAGCATTCCTCATCCACCTGGGTCCATTCATCTGTCTCCACATCGAATCGAAAGGCTCCCCCTCCGACGGTGTACAGAGCTCCGTTCAGCGACGTGATGCAGAGGTCATACCTGGGAGGGAAAAAAGCCTTGATCAGAATCAACAGAAAGATCTGGCCCCTGAAATGTTCAGTGTGACCTTGGTCCTCATATCAAGAGGCCCATTCAAACAGAGAATTACAGAAGTGTTGGTGCGATGGGACATCGGGATTTCTCCAGCCCAGGCTCTTCTTGGAGCAGGACCAACACTAGAACCTTTCTTCTCCTGCCAGGTCCCAGAAGGTTATTTCTTACCTTGGAAGCGGGGAGAATGAGATGACATCCCAGCTGTCTGTCTCTATGTTCAGCCTTTGCACTCCATCGTATACGTGGCCGTTTTCATCCAGGCCACAGACCACGTAGATCTTGGTTCCCACGCTGACGGCATCTCCTCTCTCTACAGGTTGAGCCATAGGACTCATACTTTCCCACTCTGACTCCACCAAAGCCATGCGTTCCACGGCTGGGATTATCCCTTCGTCCGTGTTCCCTCCGAGCACGTACAGGTAGAGCCCCGCTCCCACGGCGCAGTGCCGTTTTCATCCAGGCCACAGACCACGTAGATCTTGGTTCCCACGCTGACGGCATCTCCTCTCTCTACAGGTTGAGCCATAGGACTCATACTTTCCCACTCTGACTCCACCAAAGCCATGCGTTCCACGGCTGGGATTATCCCTTCGTCCGTGTTCCCTCCGAGCACGTACAGGTAGAGCCCCGCTCCCACGGCGCAGTGGCTGTTGCGGGACTTCTTCATGGCGGGCCCCTCCAGCCAGCTGTTGTCCAGGCAATTGTAGACGAGCACCCAGTCCACACTGTACCACACAAACTCATCTCGGAAATATCCTCCTGTCACAAAAAGAAAGCTCCCTGGAAAGACAGCAGAAAAGCATCAGTTACATAAAGGGTGAAAGTTGCTCCTGAGATCTAGGCTTCTTATTTCTCCCTGGGCTCTACCAATGAATCACAGAATCATAGAATGGCCTAGGCTGGAAGGGACCTTAGAGATCATTTAATCCAACCTCCCTGTCAGGGGCAGGGACGCCACCTCTTGACTAGACAAGGCAACACATGGGGACCGAGCGGGAATCGAACCCGCGACCTCAGTGTTGTCATTGTTGTCAGCACCGCGCTCAAACCACTGAGATGAATCAGAGAATCATAGAATGGCCCAGGCTGGAAGGGCCCTTAGAGATCATCTAGTCCAACCTCCCTGTTTGGGGCAGGGATGCCACCTCTCGACTAGACCAGGCAACACATGGGGACCGAGCGGGAATCGAACCCGCGACCTCGGTGTTGGTCCTTGTTGCCAGCAATGCAAGATAAGCAGAGAAAATGACTGCTCGTTGTTTGCAGTATGTGATTCCTCATCTGCACAGGATGCAGTGAGTCCTTCTGGAACAGAATCATGGAAACAGTGGTTGGAAAGAACCTCTGGGGGATCTCGTGTCCAAACTTCCACTTGAAAGGGAAGCCATGGTATTGAGCCGTCTCAAAAGTCTCCAAACACGAACGCTTCACAACATCCATGGGTAAGTTTAACTTAATGGCAGCTATAAATCAGAAGTCACCATCTGTCAAAACCATCATGAAAGAGAAGGCAAAAAAAAAAAATTTGCTGCTTAAAGTGAAGTCATTAGAGTCACCCCAGATAAAGCTAATGTAAGGACTTCAATAGCTCCTGCTATACGAAAAGAAATATTCAGCGTTGTCTAACATTCTCCAAGGACTAAGTGAAACAAAACCCTTCTTCGAAGGAATACAGACAAGGTTTTGGCAAGGCTGAACAACGCAGTTTTACAAAAGCATCTGAGCTCCCTGCATTTGGGTCCCTGAGCTACAACTTCTGTTTGCATTTGCTCGGTCCCGCTTCTCTGTTAGTTACCTACTGCTGCCACCGCGTACTGGGTGAGGTTCCTGCGCTGCAGCGGAGAACAAGCCTGCCACGTCCCTGTTTTAGGTTGAAAGAGAAATAATTCTTGCTGTTCTTTGTCATGCTTTCCTCCCAGGACATATAAGGTGTCATAGCTCCGACCGGTATAAGGACACAGTTTCGTATTTTGCCAGCTGGGTGGAGGAGAGCTGTCTAACTTCTTTATTAGTCTGGAAAAGATATCTGTCTCTCCAGAGCGCTTGCTGCGTTTCACCAAGAGATCGAGGAAGGACAGACTTAGAAAAGCGACCCTGACTTTGCCCACCAAATCCAGGAAGTCTTCCTCTCTCGTTGTCGGGTCCTCCATTATCCACCTCATAACGCTGTCAAAAACCACGTCTTCTCGTGAAACGAAGAGGTCGTCGCTCGTTAGGAGCTGCATCAGCATTTCTTTGGGTAGCGCCTTAAATTCTTCCTGGCACATCACATCCCCCCAGTGCGTGAGAGCCACGTTCATAGCAGACACGTACAGGTCTACAAAGGCAAATTGCTGTGAGTAGGTCATCAGGCCCAGGCAGTTGGAAACATGCAGCTCTCTCTCCAGAAATTTCTCACACAAGAGTTTCACCCTGTTAAACTGAAAAAAATCAGCTGTTTCCAGTAAGCTGGTCACGTTTTCTTGCCCTATAAGCACTTGGGCTGTGCGAGTGAACTCAAGCAGTGCCTGGAAAGGCGCCGCATCGATCCCCCGGATCACTATGTGGTGCTCAGAGCTCTCTCTTGCCCCCCCAAAAAACATGGCTTCAAAATACCGACTGTGCACTGCAAGTGCCCTGCGGCTGACCTGAAAGAGTCTCTCTCCGACCTCAAGAATCGTGTCTGCAATCACTTCTGTCTGAGGGCGCAGCTCCTCTGGGTCTTGTGCAGGCTCCATGCTCGTTAAGTGCCACGCAGTTAATTTTAACTCAGCCCTTACTCATGTGAGGTCTCTAGAAACATTATCCCCCTCGCTAGGATAAACACAAGATAAGCTATTCTTGCCCTAAAAATAGATTATGTTTTCTACCCTCCTGCTTTGCTCTTCAGTCTTTCCTGCTTTCAGAGCAACAACGGCAGGAGAGCCGTATAACTAAAAAAAATCAGATTTAATTGGCGTCTGCTGTAGCAAGGTGCAACCACAGCAAACCAGGGGAGCTTTTAGCCGAGCAAAGAGCTTGAACCGCCAGAAGGAAAGAGGAGGAACAACCAAAACTTTCCTAAGCAGTAAATATCAAGAAGTTGTAGAAGAAACATTTACAAAAAATTATTCATTACAACACTTCATTTCCACACATCAGAAAAGTAGGAAAGCTCCAGACTTCCCCAGAAAAACCACTGATTTCCCCAAAGCCACATCCTTCAGCAGGTGAATTTTAATATCCAATTCTGGATTGCCTACAGGGGGAAGGAACGAGCCCCCACACAAAGCCAGGTGGCTGTCACATACTCAGTGTCAATGCATTAAATAAATCCAGACATGGCCCGAGCAGCAGCTCAGTGATTCCACACAATGAGCGTGTCCAAAGTGTTTAGACCAAGCTATTAAGTGGAGAGATTTGCACAGTGACCTCAGGCTGGTGCCCCTTATCCCAGAGCCCAGCCCAGCAAGGCTCAGGCCCGTTTCTTAGCTGAGTTCAGCAAGCAGGACGGTGCTACGTGCATCAAGGGCACTTTTTTTTCCTGGAGGTTCCCTGGTTTTGGAACAGAGGCTCCTGTGAAACTGCTGTTACTTACAGAGTCACATTTAAGAATGAATCCGATAGGAAAAGCACATTCACAGTTTAAAGTCAGCTATAGAATCATATGACAAGAGTCACAGATCAGGTTGGGTTGGAAGGGACCTTTAAAGATCCCCTAGTCCTCAAGCAGACATCTCCAACTAGATCCAGCTCAGAGCTCTGTCCAGCCTGACCTTAAATGTTTCCAGGGATGGGGCATCTATCACCTCCCTGGGCAACCTGTGCCAGTGTCTCACCACCCTCACTGCAAAAAAAATCTCATTTATCCAGCGTGAACCCACCTTCTTTTAGTTTAAAACGATTATCCCTTGTTCTATCTCTACAGACTCTGCTAAACAGACTGCCCCTTGCCGTGTTCAGAGTCTTATTTTCAGGTACTCAGCTCCCAAATATAACGCAGAAGCCTGCACTGCAGGAGGACAGCCAGGTATCTTGCACCAAAACTGAGCAACCTGCTCACCGAGCAGGAGATGCTGGGAACGGGCCCTGCTCCGGAGCTAATGCACTGCCCCGTCGTTTCAGGCAGATCCCTCTGTGCCCTCTGGATCTAGAATCTCCTCAGGAGAGCTCCGACAGGTCCCTTCCTGGCACTGCACTCGGAAAACAAGAGTGCAGAAATGGCTCAGAGTGTTACCGGCATCAACTAGCAACCTCCCCCCCACCTAAGGAACAGTTCAAGACTCTGCTCAGGCTGATGGCGAATAAATTCTGCTCCACACTCTAAATAAGGAGTCTCTTGCGTGTCGGATAAGTTTCATGGTGTTCCCAAAAAAATTACATTGGAAGGAGCAATTAACTCCTACCAGATTAAAATCTAGGAGGCTCAAGTTTACACAGGCAATACACCACACGAGACAGCTGGCCCCTAGTTTCGTGGCTTCCTGAAAGAGTCAGATGCCCGGAAATGTCATTTATTTACTTCAAGTTCCCAGCAGAGCTGACCCAGGAAGGGCTGTGAGCTGAGCACGGTGCCGAGCAGCTGACACAGCCTGTCCCCGGCAGGTTTTCTTGACAGATGCTCTCGGTGATTTCTCATCAATCTCTTGTCTCAGAGTGGAGCTTCCGATCCCGTCCCTCCTGATTTTCTTGTGTTTACACACCTCCCGATCAAATTGTGTTTCGATTTACATCTGCGGAGAACTGCAGTGTCAGCCATAGAGTACTTTTTCAGACCAAAAACCAGACATTCGGGAACAGACTGATTTGTATTTATTTACTCAAAACTCCTCAAATCTTACTATTTCTGCAGTATAAAAAAAACGTTTACTTACAAATCAAATTATAACAAACAGAACCACAAGCGGATAGCTGCAATATAAAAATACGCAGTATTTCCAGACACTGCCTGCAATTGAACATTAGGATCTTAAGTGTTCTTCCCCTAAAATTCCAAGTATTGAACAGATACTTCCGTAAGGTTTATGTCATTCGGCGAAGAATCATCCCAGAAGTCAGCCCAGTCCTTTTCCAGAAATGTGGGAGCCTTCTCACACACCAATCACAGCCCACAAGATGTGGAACAAGTGCTAGAAATGATCTTTTTTTTGCTGCTCAGCTTGTGACGAGGATGGCAAGGTACCAGGCAAGGGAAGCCTTGTTCCTGCGTGTGCTGGACCAAGCAGGCAAAAGACTGAACTCAACAGCAGGAAGATACAACACAAAGCTTCCCAGCCTTATACTGACACCTAAGAGGAAGAAAATCACGTTCCAACGTATTTAGGCTTTAGATTACTTTAGGTTAAATACACTCTTAATGTATTTCAAAATGTAAATAACGTAACCAATGTTCAGGGCATTCTTTCCTAATTTTATGTAGTTGTTTCAAATCCCACAAGATCAAGAGAGTCTCAGACAACTTCATGACAATATATTCTCTCCTGTAAGCTCTGAACAATGTAATTACACATTTGGGGGGGGGGGGAAGAAGCAGAATTTACTTCTTACATACCATGCCCCATTCTCTCATTATTTTGTGGAAAGTCACACAAAAATAGTTTTCTTTCACACTAACAAATACACATTCAGACTCCTCCCCCAAACCAGGAAGCTTCTCACACACTGACAGTTTTCTCCGATGATCTGCACCCTTGAAGTCCTCAGAGACGATCCAAAGCAAGCATTAACCATCCTGCTGCTGAATGAAAGGATTTGGAATGGCTTCCATTCCATCCTGTGGGCAAATAAGAACCACAGAAGTCCCTCTGCAGACCACAAGTCCCAGCTGACGCGTGTCTTCCGTCAATTTGTACTGATCATCTGGATCTGAAAAGCAGACACCCACAGTTACAACGGCATTGTTAGGAAGAGAAACCAAGCTCCAACTTCAAAAGGCACAGACATTCAGGTTTTCTCCAGGCACATCTGCGTCGTTTTGTTCAACACACGGACTATAAAAGTGACGCAGCAGTAACACGTGATGTCTTCAAAACATCGCTGGTTTACTAAGTTTCAAACTAGGGCAATAAAGACCTTTGCACGCAAAGCAGAACACACCTTTCAGAGAATTCATCTAACCAGTCATTTAATCATACCAATGATTAAAAGAAAGCTCCTGATACCATTTCAGATGCCATTATAGACAAACATTTTGGGATCGATGGAAATCAGAGAAAGATCCCGACTTCAAAATCCACCGAGTAGAGAGTAGCTGGTCCCTTCCCAGACAAGGCTGTCGACAGGAACAGACATTGAACGTACCAATGGCCAATTCTACCCTCCTCGAGATGTCAATATATTTGACAAAAATGCACTACACTCATCTTTTAAAACTCGTTTCTAAGACTAAAATTAAAGCTTCAGGTCCTTCCTTGTAAGCAAGGCAAGAGATTACTCTTCAGAAGTGCTGTTCTATCATATGAGAAATTTTGTTTCTGAGAGGAGAACAGGAAATGGGAGTATTTATCCTTGGATGGGGAAAAAAACCAAATTAAAAGAAAAACAACTCTACAGCTCTCTTAGTGCTAAGAAGCTACAGAAGGCTTTCGTTCCACAGAAATACAAAGACTGCATTTAGAGCAGAGTTTAAGACAGTAAGGTCCTAGTTCTTGCTGAGATGCTTTTCCTGCTTTGAGCAAACAGGGAACCCTTAAGCCACATAAACAAAGGCAACTGCCTTAGTGAAGAGACACACTACTGCATTCAAGATTTGGAGGACTAGAGCAGCAAATGAGTTAAAGAGGAGCTCAAGCAAGGACTACCAAGAACGCTCTACCACAGGGAATGTGCTTAATTTACCTTCTGATAGTCTTTTCTTTAAAGCTTAATTATCACAAACATGTTGCAGTTTGGATGGTGTCAACCTGTGGCTTCTGGTTATTCACTCAGAGAGCTGCAGGAATTTGTTACGAAAGCCACGCTCGAGGAAACAAACAAGGAAAAAGCTTTACACAGAGATCATATCACTTACCTCGCATATACTCAATGGTACCATCGAGCACAAGGTTCAGAAGAGGGTCGAATCCTTTCAAGACGCCACTTGCTGATGAAGACCACACACAAAACAATGATTAGAGACCAAACGCAGGTATAGAGCAACGCAAGACTGTGAGAAGGACACATTTGGTTCTCCAGTTCTGCTCCTTCCTTCAGACAAGGCCGTCAAGAAAATGAGACACATTTTAAAAGCTATTTTTTAAAAGCAAACAGACTTTGGTTTGGAAAAGCTTCTGCCAAGCATTTCCCACGCAGCAGCACGCCGTTAACTTTTAGCAGAGGAGCACGGTGCAGCTCGCAGCATCAGCCACGTCGGGATGGAGAGGTGCAGGCACTGCAAGCACGGCACGGGGAGAGCAAGGCAAGAGCCTCAGAAGCGATGAAAAGACACAAAGACATGAAAACAATCTCCAAACACGTTCAAGACACAAAAGGGGTGGCAGGTGTATTGATCAGAGCAGCCATGAATTTTTTTTAAGTGCTCCCTTGCCACAGGAAAAAAAAAACCACCAAAAGAAAAAAGACAGCGGAAGACAAGGAATGACTGAAAGGTGCGCGGATGAAACAAAAGTAAAAGTTGCAGCCAAGGGATTAATGGAAACGACAAAGATGAGCTTCGTGCTGGTCACAGCCAGGGAACTGCTGGAGAGAGCCCAGCACAGC